AAAGTATAATAGTTCCTGGATTCACTGGTTTCTACCCTGTGGCTCATACTCCAGAGGGAACTTCACACCTTTAGCTATTTCATAGGGAAGTTACCTCCATATTGCTAAGATGCTTCTGATGTTATTTTTAAAAATTCATTAATTTCATATAGCATTAATTTTCTGTTATCATTAGATGAGATGTTAACTCCCATTCCCATTCTTTACCTCTTCTCTCTCCTTTTTAAAAATTCATTTTAGAAAGGAAGGGAGGAAGGGAGAGAAACATCGATCTGTTGCCTCATGTAAACGCCCTGACTGGTAGTTGAACCTGCAGCTAGTTGTGTGCCCTGACCAGGAATGGAACCTGCCACCTTCTGGTGTGTGGGAAGACGCTCGAACCAACTGAGCCACCTCCAGCATGTCTGGGCTAGGTGCCCCTTAACACCCGTATATAATTCTACCATGGTTCTACTAATCAGAATTTGTAATTGTTTCTGCCAGATGTGGTCTAGGGTCCCTGAGGCCTCCTAAAATAAAAGAGATCAAGTACTTCGTTTTTCTACTATAACATCTGAAAACAACTAATGTTTTATAAAACATTAGGGTTTGTGGGGAAAACAGCCTGGGGCATACCACTCAAAACCTGTGCAACCATGTAACCAGTTTAGCAGCTAAAACAATAGCAATCCTAATGAAATTTTTAGCACAGCTAACATGTACTCAGTTAGTCCTATGCAGCCTTGAACTGTAGGGCTCATCTCTCTCATTTGAGATTTAGGCCTTGGCATACAGTTTATGTATGGGTATCATTTTATTTGCAAATGGCTATCATTTTTATCAAAATTTAAAAATATGAACCTGGATATTCCCTTAGTCTGTTTTAATTCAGGGAAAATGTCTTTGCTTTTTTTTTTTTCCTTCTGCATTCACAGCTTCTCCAGATCATCATTTGAAACATTATACCAGCATCTAATTTATATATATATATATATTTTTTTTTTCCAGTTTTTGCTTAAAGTCTTCATAAGCTGCTAATGTATCTCTTTAATATGTGGAAGCTTGTACTTTCCTATCACTTCACGTGAACATGTATTTTGAACCACCACAAATTTCTCGTGATCTCTACATCATTACCCTATATACTAAATGTGTGAACTAATTTATGTTAAAGAAACATGCATTGTAGCAGATTGTATCTCCTATTCCAGCAAACTTTTTCTGACACCTCCCTCCTGGATACCCTTACAGCTTTCTGTTCAGATCTGTTATCTTTCTTACCAGGCTGGAGAGAAAGGAGTCCAGGTAAACTGGTTTCACAGTTTTGCACTGCTCCTTGTTGACACGGTGATGTTTTTCTCCAGCTTTCTGAGTACCTGGTCTCAGCTCTGTTGCACTTGGTGTGAAACCCAGAAACCCAGATTCACTGCACTTTCTACAATGAAAATGTAACTCCCTCCTTTGTTAATATCTGTGACTGACTCTGTTTCCCATAGTAGATGTTCTTAAGTTAGAGCCGATATGCAAAACTTCTGATTTGTTTACTTTTTAATAGAGAGAGGGGCTATACAAATGATCGGACTCTTGAAAGGGTCCAGGTTAAGCCCTGGCCAGTTTGGCTCAGCGGTTAGAGTGTTGGCCTGCAGTCCGAAGAGACCCGGGTTCGGTTCCTGCTAAGGGCATGTACCTTAGTTGCAGTTTGTCCCCAGCCCTGGTTGGGTTGTGCAGGTGGCAACCACTTGATGTGTCCCTTTCATGTCGGTGTTTCTCTTTCTCTCTCTCTGCCCCTCTCTCCTTCCCTTCCTTCCTCCCACTCAGTCTGAACAAAAAATGGAAAAATGTCCTCAGGTGAGGACTGGAAAAAAAAAAAAAATCACTGGCCTACAGGATAAAGGTTTTATGGTGCTAAAAAGGTACCCAACATCAAGTCATTTTTCAAAAGTATCACCCACTCTCTTGTTTTAAATACAGTTTTCTTCTTCAGCCTATAATCTTGTTACTCTTTTAAAGGTATTACACAAATCATGCCTTTTAGAATGTTTTCCTTGATCTCTGGATTCAGTTTCCACTTTGGGTTCCTCTGGATTCCTTTAGCAATGGTCACAGATTGTAGCACGCCATCCTTTTACAGATGGTTTCTCACTTGAACACGGGCATGTGAGTTTCTCATAGACTTAGTACAGTGTCTGTCAGCAAATGGTAGTTGTTTTTGTTTGTTTGATTCTTCCTCTTGCCTTTCTCACCAAGAGTGTGAGGGTCTGTGTAGTAAAGTCAGTGTTTGGTTTTTGCTATGATAATTTCGGATAGGTTAGAGTTCAATAGGGCCTGAGAAGGGCCAGGGCATTCTTCAGCCCTAGAACCAAAGGAGGATACTTTATCAAATTAGTAAATTAAGGCCCTGGCCGGTATGGCTCAGTTGGTTGGAGTGTTGTCCTATGTACCAGAGGGTCAGGGCTTGATTCCCATTGGGGCACATGCCAGGGTTTGATCCTCAGTCAGGGCATGTTGCAGAAAGTAGCAGATCGATGTTTCTCTCTCACATCATTGTTTTTCTCTCTTCCTCTCCCTTCTCTCTGTAGAATCAATAAAAATGTATCCTATATCTTGGGTGAGGATTAAATAAAAAAAGAAAACTAGTAGATTATGGTATTTCCTGTAGAGTCATTTGTTTAATGTTTGTGGGTCGTCAAAATTATAAAATCCCTGTAAAATCCTCAGGCATATGCCACACTGGAGACGGACAAGAATCAATCTTTTGTAGCCACTTTTTCTTTCATCTTGGGAAGACATTCATTCTTTCAGTCCCAGATGAAAAAAAATTAACCTGTGCTTAGAGGCCATGTCATTAAAAAAAATCTTTAAATGCCAGAATTGTACTTAGTGAGTTTGATATACTGGAGTTGAAAAAGGATGTCAAAACAGACCCCTTGAAGGAACAGTAGATTGGCATCTCCCATTGCACTGCATGCAACGAAATACCACTTGTGGAGGAGACCGGTGTTCTCAACCTTCCTAATGCAGCGACCCTTTAATACAGTTCCTCATGTTGTGTGTGGGCGTATCTGCATGTGGGCGGACCGCCTGGAGATGGATAGAGGAGCGGTGTCTTGGTTCCTAAGACCGTCGGAAATATGTGAACGGGTCATTCGACACCCAAAGGGGTTATGACCCACAGGTTGAGAACTGCTGTTTTAAAATGGTTTCTTTCTTTTGTTGTGCGGGGCATTGGAATCAGCCAGGTTTGTGTGAGTTTGAGTAAGTTAAATAGGAATGTGCTGTGAATTCACGGTGTTTACTCAGAGAGTTTAAGGAGATCATAGAAAACGACAAGGAGGACACAGACGTGGACAGGCCCTGGTAAGGAAGCTGCCCCAGGAGTGTTGGAGCAGCCTGGTACCAGGGCTTTGAGGATCCTGACGAAGTTTGAGACCTGATTGCTTTTCTTCTCTAAAGTCAAGAGTGAGGGTGCAGTTTTGCCAGAGTTGGCCGTCCTAACTCTTGTTTTTGGCCATGGGTATTTCATTCTCACTTTCCCTTTCTCCTGATTTATTAATTCAGAAGTTGATATATGAATTTACTTATTAACTATAGTTGAATGAAGCGTAAATTATGTATTCACTAATATGTATTTGACAGTTTTTAGTTTATCAAGGTACACTTATGTTTCATTCAGAGATGCTGAGTTTGACTTGTTAAAGAAGTTCATAATGTGTGTGTATGTAACATGTATGTTCTAGTGCTTAAACTATTAAGGTTAATAAAATTTCTTATTTATCATGACAAGGTTTACCAAACAAAACAGTTTTTATTCACACACATACACACTGCAAAAATGTGAGTGTTTTTGTTTTTACATTTTGTAAGTAGTGTTTGGGTAATATGTTATTCTTTGTGTTAACAGTTTGAATTTATGGTGGTACATTTGGGAATTGTTAGTAGATTTTTAAGTTTAGGAATTAAAAACATTTTTTGAAATTGATTTGAGAGAGAGAGGAAGGGAGAGGGAGAGAGAGATAGAAACATGGATGAGAGAGAACATTGATTGGCTGCCTCCTGCGTGCCCCCCACTGGGGATCGGACCCACAACCTGGGCATGTGCCCTGACCAGGAATCGAACCGGCCACCTCTTGGTACAGGGTCAACACTCAACCACCGAGCCACACTGGCTGGGCAAGTTTAGGAATTTTAAATCAATCAAGTAATCCATGCATATTAGGCTAGACTTAAAATACTGTAAAGAAGACGACGTGGCTTGGTGAGTGAGGGCCTGGTTTCTGGCTCAAAGGCCTGGGCTGTGTCCCAGCAGTGTCTTTTTCAGAGCACTGTCTAGTATGGCAGCTACTGGCCACATGTAGCTATTAAGCACTTGAAATGTGCTTAGTATGAGTGACTGAATTTTAAATTGTATTTAACTTTCATTAATTTAGGTCTAGGTAGCCACATGTAACTAGTGGCTGCCTTATTGGGCCTCATAGTATGAATTGACTTGACTTTGCTGAGTTTCAAATTTCCCATCTGTACAGATGAGATCATACTTAAGCTATCTTTTGTGGTTGTGGTAAGAATAAGTAAATTAACACTAGAACGGAATATGTCCTTGAGAAATGACAGTTATAATAATGATTACATATTTATTAATAAACTGGAATTACTTTCCTTTTGAGCACTATTTAAACCTATTTATTTTTATTCTTTCCTTTCAGGATTAATTTATTTTTGGAAATCAAGTGCAATATTAAAAGGAAAACAAACTGTATCGCACATGATTGGAAGCCATTTCTGCTCATTTTATTACATTTTAAAATTTATGATTTGACTTGAATACTATCATGGGAGGAGCTGTGAGTGCTGGGGAAGATAATGATGACTTAATTGATAACTTAAAAGAAGCTCAGTATATCCGCACTGAAAGAGTGGAGCAAGCCTTCAGAGCGATTGATCGCGGAGATTACTATTTGGAAGGCTACAGAGACAATGCTTACAAAGACTTAGCCTGGAAGCATGGGAACATACACTTGTCAGCACCTTGCATTTATTCTGAAGTTATGGAAGCACTGAAACTTCAACCAGGATTGTCTTTTCTTAACCTGGGAAGTGGAACCGGATATTTAAGTACAATGGTGGGCTTAATTTTAGGTAATTTTATTTTTGTAAAATTATTTTTTAAAAGTAAGCTAAGTTTGTATTACTGTTTGTGATTTACAGGGTTTGTAACTGTGTTTATGTACAGTATATATTTGAATGTATATACTCAAAGTAGTTATCTTCCTTAAATGGAAGCACAAAGTGATAGTAATCTTTTCTTATTCTCTGCCCTGACTCTGATAGTTACCTTCTGCGTTTTGTCCTAGACTTAAAAAGCTCTGGGGATTGTTTTCCAACCCCCAGTCTTTGTACTTAAAATTGAACAGCTGGTAGGCAGGAGACTGAGGAGTATAATGTAATTTATTTGAGGTAGTGTTCTGACTGCTGGCATAGAGTTTGATACTTATCAATGTCCTATTTTAAAAGGAATGGTGCCAGGTTTTTGTTAAAGATACAGGAGTATGTGGGATCCAGAGGATGTTTCACTGGCGGGCAACGCAAAGGACTGGGAAAAGGAACACAGAAGAGAGAAGTATATGTCATTAAGGTTCCAGCATACCTATTACACAATCTTCAGCTCTGCCAGGTGTTATTCTGGCGTGTGATCAAAAGGGACAAATATCTCTGTCTTCGAGACATTTATGGCTGCTTACTAGGAGGGTAGGCATTGTTTAAAACACTTGATGTATAGTTACTCATTTAATGTTCCTAATAATCCTGTGAAGTGTAAACTTATGATTTCCATGTGTACAGGTGAGCCAAACCGAAGCGCACAGAGGTTACATATCTTCCTTCCCTCAAGTCACATAGCTAGGAAGTGACAGCTGGAAAATGTGGAATGTGGGTGGGTAAAGCATGGCTAGAAGAAAATCTGTAAGACATTATAATGTTGGATGGAGAATGAACAGCCATGACTTTTGATCAGCCACTTCATCTTTACTGAGTGCTGCTCTGTGTCAAGAACTAAGGTAGAGCATGAAGACCCATAACATAGACTCTTGCCTTGGGTTCACAGACTTTTGGGAGTGGAGAGACAAAAACCAGCACTTCTCATCCTAGGCAGCATGTGTTACAGTTGAGGTACGCCCAAATTGTAGGGACAAGATGGGTTTAAAATTCAAAATGATGGGAATCATTGAAAGATTTTAAATTAGAGAATTTCTGACTCTACTCTAGGGTAACTAGGTCCCAGAATGCTGGGACAGTCCTAGTTTATCTCTGTGGTCCTAGCATCAGTATTAATAATGTTCTTTCCCAAAGTATCCTAGTTTGGACAGTAAATTATGTGGTCATCTATGACATTTAAGGCATTTTTAGTCCTGAAATTTTCCTTTCCTACACAATGTCTAGCTCCTTCCTTTTTAAATCATGGAGCCTGCAATCTTATTTTATTAAAAAAATATATATTTTCCTCTCACAATTGAGTCAGTTCTTGATACATAATAACTCCTCAAAAATGGTAGCAAATTATTAAATTTTACCAAGAAAGAAATTTAGCAGCTGACATTTTATACTTGGTTCTCCTGCTGCCCTGAGACAGGAGTTTCCCAGTGGATTGAGAACCCCAAACATCTATCACTTGTATCACTAGTGCCTCTTTGAAAAAGGACTTTCTAGGATTTGTGACAGTCTCCAAGTCAAAGGAAGTTAGTGAGGAGAACAGGTAGAGTTTCTTTTCAAAAGTTACCCTTCTTGAACCAGTGCATTTCTTGACCAGCTCTGGCAACTTGAGGCTGGAGTCCTGGCCCCATACCATGTCTTGCCAGCATCAGAGCACCTGTTATCCTGTCTTCCACTTCTCCAACCCTGTCAGCTGGCTCCTGCTGAGGGAGGTCAAGGCTAGCCAAAGGCCTGGGCCAGGGAGAGGGAATAATAATTAGCAACCTTGCTAGTAGTAAGGTGGCCCTCTTAAACTTCATTTCTTCGTCTCAGTCTCCAAGAGATTAGATACCTGTGGCCAGATGCACTTGTAGGGTGATCTCAAACTTTGTTGTATCTTGAATGTCTTCTAATCCATTCCAGAGACCATTGTGGGGAAATAGACCCTGTTTAAACCAGCCACAATACATTAGATATTTTCCTCTTGTTACAAGGCTCCAGGCAGTCATGGGTCTTTAGTTACTATGTATATCTATGGTTACTAGATATTCCCAGATTTACTGTTTGTGATCCTGCATTGTCAAGACCAAGGTATAGTTCTTTCCTTTTGCTGGGAAATAATTTCTTTTGTGAGAAAGATAAAATAAAAACATTAAAGAAGTAAAGGAAAGCCCAGCTGATGTGGCTCAGTGGTTGAGCGTCAACCCATGCACCAGGAGGTCACTGGTTTGATTCCTGGTCAGGGCACATGCCCAGGTTGTGGGCCCAATCCCCAGAGAGGGGCATGCAGAGGCGGCCAATCGATGTTCTCTCTCATAAATGTTTCTCTCCCTTCCTCTCTCTAAAATCAATAAAGACAAAAATAAAAAAGTAAAGGAAGAAAGAACAGAGTCTGTAAAACTATGATTACAGCTAATAAATCTTAGATTTATTCAGCTTTTGAGGAAACTTCATTTTTTTAACCCTGTCCCCCTTTTTTCTGATTTGTGTTTTGAGAGCGTTTAAGTCAAGGAAGGGAGGATACACACATAAAAATCACTTAGAACTAGATCCAAAGAAGGATCTGAGTGTTGTGTATCAGATGTGGCTCCATTGCTTTACAGTGACCTTATTAACAGAAGTCTCTCCTTATTAATAACTAGAACACCATGGCTCTCAGCCATGTTTCTGCATCGGTCACAAGGTGGGGATGGCAGGCGCTCACATTGCAGTGGTTCTCGTCTGAGGGCATGCTCTGTAATCTAGAGGAATCCGGGCTGAGCAGGGAGAGCAGGGCATCTGTGCTCTGGTAATGCAGATAAAGGTATTCCTTGGGGAATTTCCATCGGCACTCCAGAAACACCTGTAGAGGTTGGGTTACCACCTCAAGAGAGCTTTTGTTGTTCAGTGTAGAGAAGTTAGGTTTATCTTAAGGAAATTTCTTGTAATTAAAGTCCATTTAAAGCAGTTATTCATAAATGGAGTTTATTTTTGCCCTGGACCTTGAGGATGGATCACCTCATTTTGACAGCTTGTTTAGTTTCAGATTGAAGATACCTTCTTCTTGTTTCCACTCGCTTCTCATTAGGAGTCTTCCTAGAATGAAGGAATTTCACAAAGATTCTATTTTTTTCTTAGAGAGGAATGGAGAGGGAGAGAGAGAAACATCGATGAGAGAGAACATCGATTGGCCGCCTCCTGCATGCCCCCAACTGGGGATCAGGCCCACAACCTAGGCATTGTACCCTGACCCGGAATCAAACCAGCGACCTCTGGGTGCATGGGTCAACGCTCAACCACCGAGCCACACCAGCTAGGCCACAGATTCTTGTATTTAATTGATTCTCTCAGTATGGTCTTATCATACCTAGGGAATCCCATTGAAAAATAGGGTATAAGAAATGTCTCCCAAGTCCTCTGCTTCCCAGGGTGGAGTTAAATATCAAAACTGTGATTGCAAGTTGTTCTGAAAATCTTTCTGACTCAGGGAGGTATGGTTCCTCTCTGTTTCTATCCCTTTTGCTTAGGGATTCACTATAATATCAAGGCTCATCCCACTTAGTGACTTCCTAACTCTCTTCCCTAGTTGCCTAGTTAGTAAGAGTGACTGTGGAGAGAGGGCCAGAATCATCCCAATACTATATTTCACAACCTCAGCACTACATTAGTTCCTAAAGGTGAAACAGTTGATAAACTTGTGTGCTCAACAGGAAACTTACTGCCAACATATATAAATACCAGCAACTGCTGTGTTGTCCAAAATAGTTAATTAGTTCAGCTATATGTTGCCATTGCAATTGGTCTCTATATTCCTCTTTCTTCACCACAGGACATGAAATGGTCCTCATTCAGCTACCCTTATATTGCCTTGGACCTCAGATACTCATGTTTTCTCTTTAATTTTAGTCGCACTCAAGTTCAGCGAGCTTTAATACATTTGCAGAATTGTGCAAGTATTACTGTAATCCAGTCTGAGAACCTTCCCCAAAAAGACCCCATCTCCAGTTGCATCCACTCCTTATTCCTACTCCAGCCCCTTACTTACTTTCTGTAGATTTGTCTTTGCTAAACATTTCTTATAAATAGAATCAATCAACATGATATTTGTGTATGGTTTCTTAGCACTATGTTTTCAAGGTTCATCTAGGCTGTAGCATGTGTTAGCACTCCATTTCTCACAGCTGAATAATATGGTAATATGGGAAGAGCACATTTTGTTTGTTCAGTCACCATGTGATAGACATGGGTTAGCACTTCTTGGCTATTATGAATGATGCTGTGAATATCCATGTGTAAATTTTTGTGTGGACATCTAATTTCTCTTGGGTGGATTCCTAAGAGTGAAATTGCTGGGCTGTATGGTAAGTTTATGTTGAATTTTTTACGAGAAATTGGCAGCACCATTTTATAGTCTCACCAACAATGTGTGAGGTTCCAGTTTCTTCATATCCTCACTGATGCTTGTTTTTTGTTTGTTTTACTAGCCATTGCAGTGGGTGTGAAGTGGTATCTCAGTGTGGTTTTCACTTGCAGTTACCGCCCTGGTGACTGCTGATGCGGGGCGTCTGTTCCTACACTTTGTCTTCTTCAGGGAAATACCTCTTCAGATCTTTCCCTGATTTTTAAAGTTAAGGTGTTAGTATTATTGAGTTGTAAGTGTTCTTTATACATTTTGGATACAGTCCTCTTTTTTTTTTTTTTACTTTTTTATGAAATTTATTGGGGTGACATTGATTAATAAAATCATATAGGTTTCAGGTGCATAATTCTACAATATATCATCTGTATATTGTATTGTGTGTTCACCACCCCAAGTCAAGTCTCCTATCACCACTTATCCTCCTTATACCCTCTTCTACCTCCCCCACCCCCCTTTCTCTCTGATAATCACCAGGCTATTGTTTGTGTCTATGAGTTGTTGTTTTTGCTTAATCCCTTCACCTTTTTCATCCACCCACCACCTCCTCTCCTCTGAGGGCTGTCAGTCTGTTCTCTATGGGTCTGTTTTTGTTTTGTTTGTAGGTTTATTTTGTTCATTAGATTCCACATATAAGTGAGATTATATGGTACTTGTCTTTCTCTGACTGGCTTATTTCACTTAGCATAATGCTTTTTAGGTCTATGCATGCAAAGAGTAAGATTTCCCTTATTTTAAAAGTTAAGTTGTTAGTATTATTGAGTTGTAACTGTTTGTGTATTTTGGATGCAATCCCCTTATCAGAAATATAATTTTCAAATAGTTCTCTGGGCTTACTATAGGCCAGAGAACTGGGGTGATCCAGAGTGTCTTTTGGCTCTCCCTGCCCCCAATTTTTATTGGTAACAAGATGAAATATTTCTCAAATTTCCAGGGTTCTTTTTAAGGTACATTGTATTTTCTACATGAAACCAAATTTCAGTTTTTTTCTCCTTTTTGGGGGGTGGGGTAGGGAGAGAAAATTTTCTTTTTTTCTGTTTAGGAATTACAAATGCTGTTCTTGGTATGTGCTTTTTTTGGGGCTCTGGACTAATCTGTTTTGAAAAGAACCCTTTCATTTGAGCTATTCAACATTTTCTGAAATCAGTAAAGTCCTTCACTGTTT